ACATAGGGAAAGATGTAGGTTTATAAATGTGGAAATTCATCACAATAACTGATATGACCTACAAAATAAAAGAAATATAAGAAAAGTACATTTTAATTCTTTTCTAGGTTCACCTATACTTCCAAAAGATGTCTACTCTCCTGGAAAACATCACTGCCATCATCAAACTATTTCACGAATATTCAAAAACAGATAAGGAGACTGACACACTGAGTGCAAAAGAGCTGAAGGAACTTCTGGAAGCAGAGTTTCAGCCAATCCTGAAGGTAAAAGATATTTGCCAGCATTAAAGGGTGTATCATTTTTGTTTTGCATCAAACAATCTGTCAAAATATTACTGTGAAATCTTTATGAGTTGTTTCTTTTGGAAGAGGAACAAATGTAATCTTATTTCAAAACAGATATAATTTGTTCAACTTCTTTATACCTCTATATATACTACACACACACACACACACACACACACACTGTGAAAAATATAAATAAATATTTAGTGACAAATAAGTGAAAAACAGTTAGTTAATTCATTGTAATATTCCCCCTAATTTCAAGAATGTAAAGAGGGTACAGCTAAAAGACAATTCAGTTAAGGAATTTATAAAATACTGACATTTGAAGAAGTAAAAAGAACTTGCCCCATCAAATTTTTTGTGTCACCATACTAGTGTTTAAGATTTATTTTTTATTTATTATTATTATTTTGTGTGTGTGGTATGCGGTCCTCTCACTGTTGTGGCCTCTTTCGTGGCGGAGCACAGGCTCCGGAAGCACAGGCTGAGCGACCATGGCTCACGGGCCCAGCCGCTCTGCGGCATGTGGGATCTTCCTGGACCAGGACACGAACCCGCGTCCCCTGCATCGGCAGGCAGACTCTCAACCACTGCGCCACCAGGGAAGCCCAAGATTTATTTTTTTTAGGACATTACCAACAGCTCCCTGCTGAGTCAGGATAAGATAAATATTATTAAAGAAAAAATTAGGTCTACTTTCCTGTACCAAGAATTCACATTCCCTAAGTTAACTTTAATTATTTAATTACCCATTTGAGTCAGTCTCATGGACTTTCCCTCTCTGTCTTCCTTGTATACAGAATCCAGATGACCCAGATACTGCTGATGTTTTCATGCATATCCTTGATGTAGATCACAACAATAAAATAGACTTTACAGAGTTTTTCCTGATGGTATTCAAGTTGGCTCAAGCATATTATTATACCCAGAGACCGAATTTCAAGACATTAGGGAAAAAGCAGGAAAAGTATAGATACCATTATGAAGATGATACAGAAGAAGAGGGTAAAGAAGAAAGAGAAAGAAAGTCCAGTCATTCAGGAAGAAGTGATGGAAAGAAAAAAGATAGAACAGAGAGCCCAAGAGGAAGAGGAAGAAGCAGACATGGGTCTAGTTCTGGAAGGGAAGGAAGAAGAGGTGACAGAGCTACTTCTGGACACAGAAATAGATGTGGGAAGAAACATCATGAATCAAGTAGGGAAAAGAAAAGGAGAGCGAGTTCTACTGAACTAAAAGAAAGAAGTCACATGTCAAGTGTTAGCCCCACCAGGGAATATGAAGGAAAAGAAGAACGTGGTTACGAAAATAAAAGTAGAGGATGTGAAAAATGGATAGGATCAGAGCGTAAGGGCTTATATCAAGTTTGTGAAGAAACTGTGACTATGGATTTTCAATCCGGTTGCAGTACACACCGGGTTTCCAGTATCAGTAAGGGCAGCAACAGCAAAGAACATTCACAAGATTCAGGTAGACAACCAGTGATCACTCATGGAAGGTCGCCATCCAGCTCAAGGAATCAACATGGGTCTTCCCACGACCAGTCAGGAGACAGCCCTAAACACTCAGAGTCGCATCAAGGGAGGACAGACACACACAGGAAGAGTGAATCTGTCCATGGAAAGTCAGGATCCAGCGCTACACAAAGACAGGGGCACGACCATGAGCAGGAAGAAGACAGCTCCAGACCCTCTGGAACTGGACATGGACATGCCTCAACTGGATCCGGAAGCAGTAGCCACAGGGAATCCAGTGTTGGTCAGTCCAGTGACAGCGAAATACAGTCAGGAGATTCAGGTAGATATTCTGTGACCACTCATGGAAGGTCTGGGTCCAGCTCAAAGAACCAACATGGATCTTCCCATGGCCAGTCAGGAGACAGCTCTAGGCACTCAGAGTTGCATCAAGGAAGGACAGACACACACAGGAAGAGTGAATCTGTCCACGGAAGGTCAGGATCCAGTACTACTCAAAGACAGGGGCTCCATCATGAGCAGGAAAGAGACAGCTCCAGATACTCTGGAACTGGACATGGACACACCTCAGATGAATCCAGAAGTGGGAAAGACAGGAAATCCAGTGTTGGTCAGTCCAGTGACAGCGAAGGACAGTCAGAAGATTCAGGTAGACATTCTGTGACCACTCATGGAAGGTCTGGGTCCAGCTCAAGAAACCAACATGGGTCTTCCCATGGCTGGTCAGGAGACAGCTCTAGGCACTCAGAGTCACATCAAGGGAGATCAGCATACAGGAAGAGTGAATCTGGCCACAGAAAGTCAGGGTCCAGCACTACTCAAAGACAGGGGCACCACCATGAGCAGGAAAGAGACAGCTCCAGACACTCTGGAACTGGACATGGACACACCTCAACTGGAACTGGAAGCAATAGACACAGGGAATCCAGTGTTGGTTGGTCCAGCGACGGTGAAGGGCAGTCAGGTGATTCAGGTAGACATTCTGTGACCACTCATGGAAGGTCTGGGTCCAGCTCAAGGAACCAACATGGGTCTTCCCATGGCCAGTCAAGAGACAGCTCTAGGCACTCAGAGTCGCATCAAGGGAGGACAGACACACACAGGAAGAGTGAATCTGTCCATGGAGAGTCAGGATCTAGCACTAAGCAAAGACAGGGGTGCCACCATGAGCAGGAAAGAGACAACTCAAGACACTCTGGAATTGGACATGGACATGCCTCAACTGGATCCAGAAAGAGTAGGCAGAGGGAATCCAGTGTTGGTCAGTCCAGTGACAGTGAAGGACAGTCAGAAGATTCAGGTAGACATTCTGTGACCACTCATGGAAGGTCTGGGTTCAGCTCAAGAAACCAACATGGGTCTTCCCATGGTCGGTCAGGAGACAGCTCTAGGCACTCAGAGTCACATCAAGGGAGATCAGCATACAGGAAGAGTGAATCTGGCCACAGAAAGTCAGGGTCCAGCACTACTCAAAGACAGGGGCACCACCACGAGCAGGAAAGAGACAGCTCCAGACACTCTGGGACTGAACATGGACACACCTCAACTATTTCTGGTAGCGGCAGACACAAGGAATCAAATATCAGTCAGGCTAGCAACACAGAAGGACATTCAGGAGATTCAGGTAGACAGCATTTGACCACCCAAGGATGGTCTGCATTCTATTCAAGGAACCAAAGTCATGGTTCAGATCAAGGTTGGAGACATGGCAGCTATGGCAGTGAAGATTATGACTATGGACAGTCAGGGTTTGGCCATTCTCAGGATGGAAGTGTCAGTCATGATTCCAGCCATATGGGAGCCAGGGACAGATCTGAATATAGGAGCATTTATGGGATCCAATACAACAGGCAGTAACAGACACCCTGCAACATATGGCCATTCAAATTATATTTCAAAACGGTTGGGGTTTGGACAGTCACATAGACACTATTATTATGAGTGAGAAACTATTAAATAAAGTATTAACCCAAAGAATTGGAGAATGACCAAGACAACTTTGAGTCAAGAAAATGTTCATTATACTTTCAGTGAGGTTATCTTTTCTTGTCATTTTCTTAAAAATTAGTTACACTATTTCTTTACATTAGAGATAGTTTCTTTTCATTCTATAGGAAGCTTTGAACTTTATAGTTAGGAACTGGTTAATGGGAGAAAACAATATCATGGAGTGCTAAATTTGGAAAACCATAAGTATTTGGGGAGGTTGGGGTTAAGTAAGGATTTTTCTTTTGAGAGGTTAAGTTTCAGAACCTCTCCAGATTGGTACATTAATATTTGTAAAAAAAAAAAAAAAAATCAAAGGAACCAATAGTATAAAATCACTGTTCTGTCAGCCAAAGCTGCTATATTAATATTAAGGGTCATCACACCTGCCTCTATTATCCTTCTATTGGAACTCTGTATTATTCTTCATTCATTAATCACCTTGGGCACATAGAATCCAAAAAAGTGAACTGCATGAAAATTGAAAATAAAAAATTGATCATATATCATACTGTGTCTCTTCCATGCTTCTCATAGACCCAAAAAGACTTATCTCCCCATAGTAAGAATGACATATTTTCCTCTGTCACTGGAAACTATATGTCCAAATGGCAGATGTTCACCATGCAAAAGAAATAAGGAGTTCAAAGAAGAAAAAATTTAATCAAATCCTATATCATTCTCCAACATAGTCATTGTTCCATGTAGTCACCATCAGGATGAAAAAAGGCTTAGCTCAATCATAGATAGCATCATAATTATTACAAAACATCAACCCGGAGCTTCCCTGGTGGCACAGTGGTTGGGATTGCGCCTGCCGGTGCAGAGGATATGGGTTCGTGGCCCGGTCCGGGAGGATCCCACCCCAGCTGGGCCCGTGAGCCATGGCCGCTGAGCCTGTGCGTCCGGAGCCTGTGCTCCGCAATGGGAGAGGCTACAACAGTGAGAGACCCGCGTACCGCAGAAAGAAAGAAAACAAACAAACAAACAAACAAAAAACATCAACCCAGTGGCTATTAGCAAAGTCAAACCAAGATCAGGGAACAAAATACTGACCATAGGTCCTTCTTACAAAGATACAAAGAGATATTTTCCAATGGAAACTAATGAGAACAGAAAAACTATGCTGAAATTTCTTGACAAAGGAAAAGCGATAAAGAAAATCATCTCCTGTCCTGGAAAGAAAACATATATTCATATATTTTATGACTAGGCAGGAGATTTAATAATTTTAGTAAAACTGTGAACAAGCTTCTACCATTAAAAGGAATATCTCTCTGTGAGAATCATACCCCAAGTTTTCCTTCTCCATGATATCAGACCAGTAGGAATATTAGACAATATCTAGTCCAATGTTCGCATTTTGCAAATGATTCTATCACAGAAATAATCCATACCAAATACCTCAAGTCCCCAACTCTGAGTTTAGTGGTTGTATAAAGCCACTTATAAAAGCTGTTTTGCTTTGACTTTTAGTTAAATAAATTAAGCTAAACCTAAATTACCTGTCAAAGTTAAAATGATCTGCAATGGGGCTTCCCTGGTGGCGCAGTGGTTGAGAGTCCACCTGCCGATGCAGGGGACACGGGTTCGTGCCCCGGTCTGGGAAGATCCCACATGCCGCGGAGCGGCTGGGCCCGTGAGCCATGGCCGCTGAGCCTGCGCGTCGGGAGCCTGTGCTCTGCAACGGGAGAGGCCACAACAGTGAGAGGCCCGTGTACCGCAAAAAAAAAAAAAAAATTATAAAGCATAAGAATAGCTATGCAGGAAAAGAGCAGATGCTGTAAAATAGAAAAACAAGAACAATTCAGATCAGAAAGAAGTAAGAGAAAGCCTGTCTGAGGAAGTGACATAGAAATAAGGGGTTTGAACCAATGCAGGGAGATCAGAAAAGAGAGAAATTAAGTACACGAATTAGAAAGGAAGAGGCAAAATGATCATTATTTAAGATATCACAACAAATATATGATACCATAACACAATAGACACATGGTATGTATATGTGTCTATAAATATATATACACACACCATATGTATAGATATATATTATCAATATATAATGGGATATTAATATTAACATATACTTAACTTATATATGTTAAGATTTCTACCTAGAAAATTTAAGGGAATGGACTGAAAACCATTAGATATACAAAGTTTAGTAACATGTAGTTATAGAATAAGCTGTTAAAAGATGCCAATTATTCCCTTATGAGTTTATACCTTGAACAGGAACTGTATAAAATAATATACTTATAGAACTATATAAAAGTGATTTAATAGAAAATATAGAGGCAAGGGTAGGCAGGAAAATATAGAGGCAAGGGTAGGCAGGAAAATCTGGGAAAGGATGTCAATAAGAGGGCTTACTATATACTATATTGTTATTATACTATATAATATTATTATGTAGTATACATAGTGTTATACTATATCATATTATTATATATTAAAATTATCATAAGCTGAAGTAATTAAAATACTGCAATAATAGTGGTAATTAAAATGAGAGAGAAAGGTCAATGGAACATAATAAAAAGTTCAGGAACATATCCAAGCATAACTATGAGAATTTAGTATTTTATGTAGAAGATATTTTCAAATCTGGATGCTCTTTCCAGAAGTTTGGCTGGGAAAGAAACAGGAGATGAGATATAACTACACTACAGACACCAGTTGCAAGCCCAGGTTGTTACCTGTATTTCTGACCAACTGACACCAAATTAGAGGTTCCCCCAACCTCCTCCTTGTGTTCAATTAATTTGCTAGAGTGGCTCAGAACTCAGGAAACCCATTTACTCACTAGATGACCGGTTTATTACTAAAGGATATAATTCAGGAACAGCCAGGTGGAAAAGAAATAAGGCAAGGTGTAGGGACAGGGTACAGAGATTCCATGCCCTCTCCAGGCACAACACACTCTGGGAATCTGCACATGTTCACCAACATAGGGAAAGGGTACAGAGATTCCATGCCCTCTCCAGGCACAACACACTCTGGGAATCTGCACATGTTCACCAACATGGAAGCTTTCCCAACCCTGTCCTTTTTGTGTTTTGATGAAAGTATGACTGATTAAATAATTGGTCAACAGTGACTGATTCAACCTCCAGCCCCTTTCCCCTCTCAGAGGTCCGGGGATGGACTGAAAGGTTCAACCTTCTAATCAAGTGGCTGGTTCTCCTTGTAGCCAACCCCCATCCTTAGGTGCTTTTCAAAAGTCACCTCATCAACCTAACAAAAGACACCATTCTGGCTCTCAGCACTTGGGACATTCCAAGCATTTTAGGAGCTCTGTGCCCCAAATGGGGATGAAAACCAAATACATGTTTATTACAAATCACCATATCACACCTCTTTAAAGACCCCATCTCCAAATATAATCACATTCTGAGATACTGGGTGCTGGGGCTTCAGCATATGAATTAAGTCCATAACAACCAAATGTCCTTGCTCTTTCCACTGAAGTACACTAGTTATGCTAACTCTACTAGACCACAAATTCTACAGGGCTGAGGACTGTGCCTATCTTATATTCTCTACCCACATCCATCTAGGCAATTGTAGGCATTCATTCAACAGATATTGTTACCCTAATGAACGAATCCTAACTTCTCTCCCTATTCATGCTGCCCAAACCCTCCTCCAGCTGCTCCACGGAGTCTTTGCCTTCACCAGCTCAGCCTGCCCACCCATGTAATAGAGCAAGTCAGCAGCTTCTTAACGGCCATCTGGAAAGAACCACGTCTGGGAGGCACGTGGTCCTCAAAACTTCATGCCTGGGGCTTGTACGCCACCTCGTGGTGACTGACTGCAATGTCCCGAGTAGATCCATCATTAGGCAACAGGGAATGTGGAAAGGACCTCTCACTGCACTGCCCTGACCCTGGGCTGACAGGAAGAGGTGACGTTGTGTGTTCCTTCTTGGAATTGCCAATGGACAGGAAATTCTCACCTTTCATTCATCTGTAACTGAGGTTGTAAGGCGGAGAGTGCTTCACGGTTCTGAAACCCAGATCCTTTATGGATAGGTGTTCCGACTGCATTCCCTTTATTCTAAGATATTGTGGGTTGTAAGAGGCACCATCGATTAAAAAGCAGCATTTTTGTTGGGGGGATAGGGGGAGCACTATATTAAATGTGCCTTTCAATTTTAAAACACATCTGAATTTCAGCAATGTTGTAACATGTGAATAAATAGTTCTTAGAATGTGGCTCTCATCTATAAAATCTCCCTGATAGGAAGGGTGGTATCCACTACAGGCTTTGTGTTCATTTCAGCATCTATAATACTGTTCATGATCACAGCCAGCTCTGGAGGGCAAGTGTTTCAAAAATCACTACCTAGAGGAGTCCCCCTGCCAGCCACCTGCTGAAAAATGAAGAAAACTCCTCTATGGAAGGAAAGACCAAGATAGAAACTACAAAAATAACTTGACTTCCTTCAGTGGAGTTGTACAGTGCTAAGAGATGGTTATTCATTTGTTAATGACCAGGGCTGTAGACAGAGGACTAGCTACCAACTCCCAGCCTGCAGTTTGCTGAGCCTGCAGCTGGCTAATCAGGTAACCTTAGATCTAGAAATGAATACCCCTCCCCATCCCACTCTCTGGGTGGGTACAGGCACAGGAATGTGTTGTTATTATAATAACAAAATATTTCTTTGGAGTGGAGTTGCTGAGAAAAATGTCTTGACATAAGTTCAGGGTGGAAGGCAAGACCCAGAGGGTGTGTATAAGTGATAAAAGATGACTGATAAACTTCTAGTCATGGAAAGAGAAATCTGGGTTTTCCCAAGAGGAAAGAGGAAAAGAAGAGGGAGGAGTCCACAGGTGGCGGAAGGCTGTGTGAGGTGTGATGTACCCCTTCCCAGGACCCCCAAATCTAAAAAAAACACAGATGCTTGTGTGGGTGGTTTTTTGGTAGAAATCTAAAAAGAGGCTGAATTATCCATGTCAA